CTGCCTGCGTCCTAGCGCAGGGCCAGGTAGGTTCTTTGAAAATCCGACTCCCGAAAACGCAGCGGTGGCGTCTGCAGGTAGGCCAGCTGCGTCCCTCGCAGGAGCCGTGTCCTGCGGCCACCGCGGGTTGAAAGGCCACTTGCAGGAACGTTGCTTGGCACAAAAAGATGCGGGGGAGGGGCAGGGGTGCGGCTTGGAGACTGCGCTTGTCAAAAGGACTCGCCCTCCCCGGCTTAGCTCAGTGCAGCCCAGGGTCGTGCGGCTGCGAGGAGAGGAGAGTCGGGAGCTGCGTCCCTCGCAGGAGCCGTGTCCTGCGGCCACCGCGGGTTGAAAGGCCACTTGCAGGAACGTTGCTTGGCACAAAAAGATGCGGGGGAGGGGCAGGGGTGCGGCTTGGAGACTGCGCTTGTCAAAAGGACTCGCCCTCCCCGGCTTAGCTCAGTGCAGCCCAGGGTCGTGCGGCTGCGAGGAGAGGAGAGTCGGGGCTTTGCATCAGAAGAGGAGCCGTGTCCTGCGGCCACCGCGGGTTGAAAGGCCACTTGCAGGAACGTTGCTTGGCACAAAAAGATGCGGGGGAGGGGCAGGGGTGCGGCTTGGAGACTGCGCTTGTCAAAAGGACTCGCCCTCCCCGGCTTAGCTCAGTGCAGCCCAGGGTCGTGCGGCTGCGAGGAGAGGAGAGTCGGGGCTTTGCATCAGAAGCGGGATGCATTTGAAATCCAGCCCCCTTTGGATTCTCTGATTCCCTTCGGCCCGGACTGAGCCAAACCCCGAGGGCCAGGTGACTGGAATATGGGGGGGGGGGGGTGGGGAGGTGCCTGCATAGGCGGCCAGCCCCCGAACACAGGCCGCTGTCAGGACCGGCTTTCTTGCCTTGTGTCATAAGGGGTAGCGCTCAGCTACTGAAACCTACCAGCTCTTTGCTACTGTAGAGCGGCAGAGAGGAGCCAGGGTGGGGGCTACAGAGGCTCAGGTCTGTTGCGGGTGGGGTACCCGGCCCCAAAGAGGCTCCGTTCGGACTTTTACACGGTCGAATAACTCCGTGGATTCCCACGCAGGTCTGCCCATTTCCACACTGGGCTCTAGACGCGCCAGGACTTTGTTTTACCCTGCGTGTTGGGGGAAGGGCGGGGGGGGGGGCCGGCCGCGGGG